GACTAAGTAAGATGGCACATGAAAAGGAGCTGAAAATCATCCATATCAATCCAGATTTCCTTTCATCTAGAAAACAAACCAAGCCAAAGGTTCATGTCAACCCAGCTTTTTTGCACAAGTCTGAACAACCCCAGACTAAGGGAGAGCTTTTGAAAAATGTAACTCCCCAACTGGTACCTACTGGAGATGAACAGAAATTGTATCCCACCAAAGAGAATGTGAAACAGGAGCTTTCAAAGCCTGATTTTTCTAAATGCACAAAGCCCCTTTTTCCTCAAAGCAATTCACTGTCCTTGACACAACACTCCTATGGATTAAGCTCTAAGAGATCTCATAGCCATTCACCATTGATAAAGGGAAATGCACATGCACATTTGGCAAATAAATATCCAAGTCAGTTACTTTTAAGTAATACAAATTCAGAATCTATCTCGGGAAACACTATTTGCCAGACATACAATAAAGTCAGTGGTATCTCTGGCAGTGGAATCAAACCAAAGTGTTTTTTAACAACAGATGCAAAGAAGAAAATGACACAAACTTCTGTTTACTCCTGGAGAGCAGTTGGTGCCAAAGTTCCATCACAAAATGTAAGCTTGATATATCAGTCAGTAAATAAGGTACATCATACTCCAATCTCTACTCATAACTCTTCATCTTGTAAATTTCATAGAGGCTCCATTCAACCATTAACATCTGGTATGTCCTTTGTAGACAAAGGTAAGCAGAGTGTATCTTTCAATAAAATAAATAAATATTCACCACATCAGAATGGGTATAATTATGAAGCTTATATGCAGCAAGCTTCCATTAAATCTGATGGGGTAACAAACTTTGGTAATTTAAATATTAAAAAGTCATCAATTTCAGAAAAAGAAGTGACAGGTGATTGTAAAGGTTCAGAAGTCCCCATCAGTATAAACAAGTCCCATGTATTTGCAGAGGAAAATGAAAGTTTACATAAGTTTGTGAGTGCAGAAAGAGTTCTCTCGCATTGTTCTAGAAATTCAAACATACTTATAAACCCAAAACTTTTAAAATATTTATCCAGTAATAGTGACCAAGACAAAAAGTCACCAGCTGTACCAAAGCCAAAGTTGAAACCACTGGCATCATGTGTAATGTCAAACACTGGCCAAATTACATCATGCCCACTCAGTGCCATAAATAAAAATTCTATAGCTGCTGCTGATGCTTCTAAGAAAAGTGGAAAATATAAAGTAATCTCCAAAACAAAACTTGTACGACAGAGCTCTGGTAAACTTTCCAGCCAAGCTGCATCATCTGCTGTTCACCCAAGAAATACTACATCAAAGGTAACTTCTGAGACACTCAAAAGAAATAGTAAATATAAAATTATCTCTAAAACAAAGCTTGTTCGACGACTCTCGAGTAGCTCGTTTAGAGATGAAACAAGACAAGCTGCTGCAAAGGCAACATCATCTGAGAACAGTACTGTAAGTTTGCCTGTGTGCTCACCCAAGAGTACAGTTATTTCTGCCCCTTTCAAGTCTATGACAAGAACTCGCAGAAATTCGGTAGGTACGAGGGCACACCCCAAGAGACGTTACTCAACCACGTCACGTACAAAATTATATAGACGCCTTTCTAGTTCAAGCAGTTCAAATGGAGATGGAATATCAGGGAAACCAAAGTATTCTATAAAGACAAAGACTAAACTTGTGAGGAGATATTCTGGAAGTGGTACCAATGATTCATCATTTACTAATAAGGAAGAAGGAAAGACAAACATTAAATCAAATTTAGAAAGAAAGAAAAAATTCTCAATTATATCTAAGACTAAGCTGGTGAGAAGATCAGATTCAGGAATGAATAAAACAAAAATTGTAAAAGATTCAGTTACACCTGTTTACGGTTATCCACACACAGGAACACTTGTAAGACGCCACAAACTGGTGCGTAACGTGGCAGTGTTATCAGGAAAGGCAGCTAAGGATTCAAATGCAAAAAGTATAAAGACTGTATACAAGATTGTGAACAGTAATGCAAAGATTTCATCCAAGCAGAAGGCTGCTAGAGGTATTATCTCCAAGTATAAGATAAATCACTTAAAATCAGATTCTGCCGATGTTTTAAGGAAGAGAGATTTTAGAAGCTTTAGCCCTGCTATGAAGTCAGTGTTTTCACATGCATCAAGCAAAGAGTAAGTAATGCATATTTTAAAGTACAGTTAGTCAATAAATTTTCTATGAATTTAGTGTGTTATAAAAGAAATATTAAAATTTTGCAATACAATTGGGTTTGTATAGTTTTCAGAGATATACAGTACAGTAAATCCTTACTTAACATGATAATTATTTTTCTGAAAATCAGCATGTGACATAAAATCACATTATTTGAAATGAAATATATATATTACTTCAGAGGAAATCTATTCACAGTTAATTCATTCAGTTACTATTTGTGCTGACATCATAGTTGAGATGGCCATGTGAAATGCATCATCCTAACCCCTCAGGAGTGCAGGAACTGTACTTCTCACCTCCAGTATTCTATTCTGGCTATCTGGTTTCCCTTAATTCCTTCATAAATGTTATCCTTCTCACATTCTAACAGCTTGTCAGTCACAAAACTTTACTCCATTTACTCCAGTTCTAATGTACTTTCAGAAGCCTGTTGGATGTTCAAGCCATTAGCATTCAAAGCCTCCTTTACCTCTTCCTTTCAGCCCTTCCTGGGATGAACCCCTACTTTCTTCTTCCCTCTACCCCAGATTTATATACCCTCCTAGTCCTATTTTGGTCCATTTACTTCAGATTACTAAACCATTTCAGCCCCTCCTCAGCCCCTTGAATTATACTTTCAGTAATTCTTTACCTTCCACTCTCCATGCATTGAATTCTCTGGATAATATTCACACCACACGTTGCCCTCAGGCTAGTTAAAAATTACAACAACATAACTTACATTCTGGTAGTTAATACTTCTTAGTGGAAAGAGGGTTGATATGGGCCTTCTGGGCTGAGATAAATGGCTGCTGTTCTTGTTGATGTGAATGCAGAATTGTTAGTATCAGTGGTTGTATTGAAGTAATCAAGTATTATGTTATGTGTGTCTTCTGTTTTTCCCGGCCATTCTTTGTAGAGCAACTAAAAAATTTTATGTAAATGATTGTGCTTTTTAACATGTTACTTGCAAACCAACCAGCACTAAACCTACATTGTAATGGAAGCTCTTTTCTTCTCTTACACAGTTCTATAAATATAAAGTTTTGTTCCATATTATCTGAGCTCTAAGCTGGGCCCTTTCTTTCTTTGCTTTATCCTTTGTTCAAACATTCAGTAACTGTTCTGTCATATTTTGCTATAGTCACTTCTTTGACATTTTTTTGGTGATAGTCTATAATACTAAATACATAAGCTCTTATTTTTATCATCATTTCTAATTGTTTAAATGGTTAGTTCATTCACACAAATATTGTAATTCAAGTGGCTGAGGAAGGGTTGCGGTAATTTGGGCATGTACAGAGGATGGAGAGGGGTAAGATGACAAAAGATGGTGTACACATCTGGGGTGGAAGGTAGGAGTACGGGTCAGCCCAGGAACAATTGAAGGGAGGGGTAAAAGATGCTTTGAGTTTAGGGGCTTGAGCATCCAGCAGCCTTGAAAGCATGTCAAATAGGAGTGAATGGAGATAAGTGGTATTTAATCAATGTGCTTTTGGAGTGCAAGCAAGGTAATTTTAATGAAGGGATTCAGGTAAGCAGATTAGTCAGACCAAAGTCATGCAGGTGGGAAGGGCAGTGCCTTAACATTTTAAGACACAGTACTCTTTTTACTTTATGATTTTTTTTTAACATTTTAAGTATTTTTTTTATATAAAATATCATGCATTAAATCTTATTATTATTTCTGTCTGGATAAATAATGAATATATTATTAATTTTTTAACTTTTACAGTGCATCAGTTATTGCATGACCTATTTTTTTTTTTTTTTTTTTTTTTTTTTTTTTTTTTTTTTTTTTTAACACACCTTCTACTCTCAGTAGGGAAAGGGTGACACTAAAAAGGAAGCACAGTTACCATTCATTTCATTCATTTATTCAATGGCTGTCTTTCCAGAAGTGTGCAAACATCACAATATAGTACACTGTTAGTTGTTTTAGGTTATGTATTTTACTTTAACCTTAATTAACCTAAATTTATATATAGCTAACCACACCAGAACCAACTTGCAGATGAAAGGGTAAGGTCTGGCAGTGAAGGAATACATCCTCGTCACTTAAATATTTAGTTATAAATTTTTTTTTAGCAAGTGATGACAGGTTGGAATAAGAGACACTAAAACTCCTGTACAGTAATTTGAATCCCTGTGCATGTATTAGGGCAAGTAAGAGGAATAGATGTCGTGTTTTTATGCATTTACCATAATTTGTCCTTGTGGGTTGGCAACCTCCTTCAATGCCAGTTTTTTGCACAGGGTCATGGTATGAGCCTTTTAGTTATTTTTTTTCCCTGTCTGATACTTTACCAATTCTGTTTTTAAAATTACTATAGTAGGTCTACTGTATTTCTTCTACTTTAATACAGATGCAGACAATTACCTCTTTAGGGGTCATTACAGTATTGGTAAAGTTTGTGCAGTGACTACTGTTAGGATTAATAAAATTATTTGTTACTTAATTTTTTATCTTTATTAAAGAAACTTCTGTTTAATGCATGACTTAGGAAATTCCATGGTAGTCTTCCTAATTTTTATTTTAAACTGCCTTTAAATATTCATGTAATATTTATATTATTGCAGTGCTGTCAAGCATTCTGATCGGATCATCAACATTGGAGGAATTTTGTATAAATCAACAAAAACTTCACTTACAAAACAGCTATCAAAGACACTACAGAAGAGCAGTGCAAAATCTTCAAGTAAGTTAATAAAATATTTAATTTTTTACGTATGCTTAGTACATACAGTCTGTTTATTTAAGAGTTTCAAGACTTAATTACAGTGGGTGATTTTTTTTAGCTGCATTGTAGTCATAATTGGTGCATTTATGGTGTGCTTTGAACAGACCCTGCATTGTACAGTATGTTTAATGTCCTGTCTCTAAAATCTACATTGCTTTCTCCCTCCGCACATATTTATGCTTGGCCAGTAGCTTCGTATCTTATGGAGATAAATGGTATAAAATACCTCATTTCTTATGGTGAACAGTTAAAGTATCATCCTTTTACTATATTTATTGGCATTCATTTGCAATTTCCTTATTGTTTTAAAGTTGCCTGTTGTCATAGAAAACATTTTATTTTTCTATATTTTGGGTTGATTTTTTGTTTGGTTTTAAGAGCTGTTATAATGTGCAAAAATTGCAAAGTATATAATATAGGCTGAGTGAAAAGAAAATAGTACTGGAAAGTGTCAAGAATGCACTCCACTTTTCTCTTACTTTATGTTTTAGTTAAGTACTATAACACTGTAGCTTTTTCATGAAAATATATCAGTGTGTGTATGTTTTGGGTCATATAAAATATCCATACTTGTACCAAGTTGTTAGCAAGTATTGTACTGTAAACCCTGTGTATTCACAGCTTGGCTTTTCATGTCATTTTTGTGATCCTGCAGCAAATAGCATTGTGGATAATTCAGGTGTCAAAATGTAGACTCTCAACACACCAGCCATATCCCACCGAGGCGGGGTGGCCCAAAAGGAAAAACGAAAGTTTCTCCTTTTACATTTAGTTATATATACAGGAGAAGGGGTTACTAGCCCCTTGCTCCTGGCATTTTAGTTGCCTCTTACAACACGCATGGCTTACGGAGGAAGAATTCTGTTCCACTTCCCCGTGGAGGTAATAACAATTGAACAAGAACTAGTAAGAAAATAGAAGTAAACACAGAGGGGTGTGTATATATATGCTTGTACATGTATGTGTAGTGTGACCTAAGTGTAAGTAGAAGTAGCAAAGCGTACCTGAAACCTTGCATGTTCATGAGACAGAAAAATGGACACCAGCAATCCTACCATCATGTAAAACAATTACAGGCTTTCGTTTTACACTCACTTGGCAGGATGGTAGTACCTCCCTGGGCGGTTGCTGTCTACCAACCTACTACCTAGAAAAATGTAGACAAGAAGGAATATTTATTTTGTATAATGTGCAAGTGTTATTGCTGTGGAGGTGTACAGTATTTCATTTATTTAGTATGAAATACCATATGAAGTTTAGTGAAACCAAGGTACATGGGTGGACTGTAGTTGAAGCTTTGAGATGCTATTAATAGTCTCCTTATTGTGTGTTGTATTTGTATGCTATAGTGTTGTACACAATATTATTATGAATAAATTTTTACCTGTTTATCTGTGGGATAGTTTTAAACAAGTGTATTGAAACCTCTACAATCCACACAGTAGACAGATATGAATATAGACATGAGATTCCCAACTTAACAGTTGGAACAACATTTTTTTTTTTTTTTGTCATACATTCTGGTTGGAGCTTATAAAATATAAAACATTTGACCTTGAAAGTCTGAGTGTCTCACCAGACTGAACATGCACGTACAGTATATAAATATATATATATATATGTCCAACATGCCGGCCATCTCCTACTGAAGCAGGGTAGCCCCAAAAAAGAAACACTTTCACCATTATTTACACATCATCACTATCTTTGCAGAGGTGCCCAGATATGACAGTTTAGATGTCACTCCAAACAGTCAATATCCCAAACCCAACCTTTAAAGTGCAGGCATTGTACTTCTCGTCTCCAGGACTCAAGTCCAGCTAACCGGTTTCCCCGAATCCCTTCACAAAATATTATCCTGCTCACACTCCAACAGTTCGTCAAGTCCCAGAAACCATTTGTCTCATTCACTCCTATCTAACACCCTCACACATGCCTGCTGTATGTCCAAGCCCCTTGCACACAGCCTCTTTCACCTCCCTTCTGCCTCCATCCTTTTTTAGGATGACCCCCACCCCCTTCCTCCTCCACTACAGATTTATACACCCTCTAAGTCATCCTATTTTGCTCCCTCCTCTCCAAATGACCAAACCACCTCAGCAAACCCTCCTCAGTTCTGAATAATACTTTTAGTAACTCTGCACCTTCTAATTTCCACACTATAAATTCTCTGCATATTATTTACACCCTTAGACACGACATCACTGCCTCCAGCCTCCTCCTTGCTGCAGCATTTACACCTGTGCTTCACACCCATATAAGAGTGTCGGTGCCACTATACTCTCATACATTCCCTTTTTTGCTTTCATGGATAACATTCTTTGTCTCCACAGATACCTCAATGCACCACCCACCCTTTTTCCTTCATCACTTCTATGGTTTACTTTGTCCTTCATAAACCCATCCACTGACAAGTCTACTCCCAATATCTGAACATATTCACTTTTTCCATACTCCCTCCCTCCAATGTGATATTCAGCTTTTCTTTACCTAACTTATTTCATACCCTCATCACCTTACTGAGCTTACTCTGATCTATGTATATTTTTTTTGTTCTATGTGACTGCCGTCTTTCACCGATTTATGTGAAGATACTTGGCCAAAAAAGAGAAAGCATCCCATTGTCTTTCCCCTTATGATTGTGTCTAACTGGATGACCATCTACAGTGGACCCTCAGTTATTGGCCGTAATCCGTTCCAGGTCGGCCTAAAACCGAAAAAGCCGAAAACTGAAATAACATTTCCCATAAGAATTAACGTAAATCCCATTAATCCGTTTCAGACATCCAAAAATATTAGCAAAAAAATAAATTTTTTAAAGATTAGCTATAGTTTTACTTATAGAAAATACTGAGTACATTCATTACTTACCTTAAAATGTTTGTAGTCTTAATGTAGGGCAAGAGGTGAGTAGTATTTATTTGTAGGAAGTCAGTGTAGAAAGCGGTAGATGTAGGTACAGTACACGTATGTAGCCCCCCCCCCCCCATGGGCTACACTACACAGCCATATTATTACCATGTTCAATGAGTTTAATCGTTTCTAACAACTACCTTTAGATGCCATCATAAACAAAGGGAGAAGTAATGAATAATTCATGCTTAGAGTTGTAAACAGATGCATATGATGGGCAGTTACTGGGCGAGACGCCAGATTCACAGTTTTCTCTAACGTCGAATCAGAGAAATCGTAATGTTTACTCTCCACCCAACTCTCCACTCGATAGCATATAACCAGTGCATGTTTATATGCTATGTTTATATGCTATATGCTATGTAACGTGTTTCTTATATAATTTTGAAGAAATATCATATATGGATTAATGAAAATGTCTATACAGTGGACCCTTGGTTATTGGCTGTTCAGCTTATCAGCCAACTCAGTTATCGGCTGGGTTTTCAGCTCCCAGTTATCAGCCGTTATTTCGCTTATCAGCCGTATGGTACGCATTAACCCGCTGTTGCTGCCAGCCGCTCGCGTGTCAGTCTGGCTTTGTATCATCCAAACATCGTTATAATTCATTGATTTTCGTGGGTATCGATTAAGTGCAACTGGGAAATAAGTAACCATGGCCCCAAAGAAAGTTCCTAGTAAAGTTCCTTTGGTAAAGAAAGTGAGAAACACGATGGAATTGAAGAAAAGTTGTTGAAAAGTATGAGAGTGGTGCACTGGTCCTAGAACTTGCCAGGATGTATGGGAAAAACAAATCAACAATCACTTCTATCCTGCCACAGAAAGAACAAATCAAGGAAGTTGATGTGGCGAAAGGAGTAAATGTGCTAACCAAACAAAGATAGCCGATAATGGAAGATATGAAGTTGTTGGTTTTGTGGATCACCGAAAAAAATTAGCGGGATATAGTGTTGCGGAGTCGAAGATTTGTGAGACGGCAAGGCAGTTGCATGCGGATCTTGTAAAGAAATACCTGGAACAAGTGCTGCTGGTGTATCACTCTGAAAATCCCAGGGTGTTCAAGAAAAACAATGTCATCAAGAATAGATTGTGTGTAATGTGGAAAACTAATAATAAGGCATGGGTCACAAGGCACATTTTCAAAGAGTGGGTGAATGATGTGTTTGGCCCCAGTGTGAAAAATACCTCCTGGAAAAGAAATTGCCACTTAAGTGCCTCCTGGTATTGGACAATACTCCTGCTCATCCTCCAGACTTGGAAGACCAATTGTTTAGGGACTTCCATTTTATAACTGAAGTTCTTGCCTCCCAACACCACTCCTCTCATGCAGCCCATGGACCAGCAGGTCATTTTTAACTTAAAACTCTACACAAAAGCCATGTTTCAAAGGTGCTTTGAAATGACCTTGGACACTCATTTGACCCTAAGAGAGTTCTGGAGGAATCACTTCAGTATCCTCCATTGCATAAGCCTTATAGGTAAGGCTTGGCAGGGAGTGACTTCCAGGTCTTTGAACTCTGCTTGGAGAAAATTGTGGTGAGATTGTGTCCAGGAGAGGGATTTTGAAGGGTTTGAGGCTGACCCTGAGGACCCTACGCCTGTTGTGCAATCTATTGTGGCACTGGGGAAGTCCATGGGGTTGGATGTGGGTGGCGAGGATGTGGAAGAGTTGGTGGAGGGCCACAGGGAAGAGCTAACAACTGAAGAGCTGCAAGACCTTCAACTGGAATAGCAACAGACTGCAGCTGAGGAAATTGTTTCAGAGGAGGAGGAAGAGAGAGGGGAGAAGGTGCCTTCTTCAGTGATTAAGGACATGTGTGCAAAGTGGAATGAGTTGCAAAGTTTTGTTGAAAAGTATCACCCTGACCAAGCTGAAACAAGCCATATCTGCAACATGTTCAGTGACCAAACCTTGTTCCACTTCAGGGAAATCTTAGAGATGCCAGAAAAGGAGCACTCTGGACAGTTATTTGTGACAGGCCCAGTGACTCTCAAGCAAAAGTGGCAAATGTTTCCTCAATAAAGATGCCCAAGCGATTGACATG